ATACTTTGATAGACATGAATTCATACTCAAAGTCCACTCATAATTGTTTCAAATGGAGCACTGTCAGTTTTTGCGATCGTTCATTCAAAAGATTTTACGTCTTCATCTTGAACTGAAACAAAGAGGAATGAATCAACAAACAGGCTAAAAACAGCTCAGTCCAACAAGTCAGTCACTTATTACATTGCAAAAGATAAAAAGCCAAGTGTGAATGGTAATAACAATTTTGTTAATAATAATGATAAGATTCAACACGAGAGCATCAATGAAGCTAACAACGCTCATCATCATAGAATGTAGATCTTTAGGCTGATTGCAACACATTTAAGCGCTTTGGCTAGCAGCTACTTTATAGATTATGGAGTGCACTCATTTTTATCTTTAACTTACACTATATTATTTCGCTTATCTCGTCACTTCATCATCTATTTACTATTCCTTCCTTGTCCATCGTCAAAGAAATCCCAAATAACGCACATAACAAAAATATGTCCTTTCGCTTCTATGTTATCCCCTCCAAGCTTGGCTACATAACACACCAGTCTATCGGATCTGCTTTGTCCCAACCACCTCATTCCTAATAATTCTGCATCGATTACATTCGCAATCTTTCTCTCTCTCTCACACACAACAACTCTGAAAACAACAACAATTTAAAGCTGAAGTATTCACTAAAACTGATATGATATTTAATCCAGCCCTAATACTCACTATATCTATTTCGTCACCACTTTACTCAGCCACAAACACAAGCTACCTATCTATCTACCAACATAATTCACTGCAAATGCTAAAACTACCCCCTTGAAGATCATTCATCCTCAAATCGTTGATGACTTCAACTTTAATATTATCACATCGTTGACACCACCTCTATTACCTTCAAATTCTACTTCATTCCTTCCTTCACGTTCACATCCCCTCCCCCTATCAACATTTTAAGTTTTTAGTATCAACTCATCAATCTTCTAAACTTTCTTAATCGTTCTCTTGCAAATAAACCCTGACCACTATCTATCAATCTATACCAAATAAGTACATAACCACAATAATAGTAATAATAATAATAATAATAATAATATAACATCAAGCAAACAGATGCAAGTTTTATAACAAAAAATTTCATTTTGATCACTCATCGTTGCACTATCGTATCTCATACATAGTATTCCGTTAAAAATTCATCACATCGATCTACTCATATCACAAATCATATAATCACATTTACTCACTCCTTTTTACATCTACTGCAAAGCAATCAAATAATTCACTATGCAGCAATGCAGTCCTACAATCGACCGCATAATAACGAACAAATGAAATGAAAAGAAGTAAAATAGGATAAATAAAGCAAACAAATAATTTACAACGAAACAAAATAACAAACACACGCTTATTGCAAATAACAAGTCGCACTGCAAAAAACATTACAAAAACTAATGAATCTACACACTGAATCTGTTTCACTGAATCACCTTAATATGATAAAACAGTATGAAGATTTTTTTGCGGTTTTGCTAGTACTATTAGACTGAAATAGAATGATAAAAAAGTAGGGAAATATAAATTAAATAGAGATAAAAATACATGAAGGGAAATAGTGTAAATAAAAGCGGAGTCAAGATTTCAAAAAAGGAAAATAAAATGAAATAAATTAGCAGCGAGTTAATGAAATGAAATCTTTTTTTTTGGTTTCTAGTGGAAAGGATGAACGAAAACAAAATTAAATTTGAAATGATAACTATCGAAAGAGCTTAGCGGTCATACGTAAATTAGAGGATTTCTAACAAGGTGAGAACAATATCAGAACTGGCGAATAATTTTCCTTCAACAATGTAAGAAGAATCGATGAACGAAGACGTCTGCGTAGCTGCTCACACTACTGCTGCTGCTATATCATATCAATCAATCGTCATTTGCAGCAACTTTTTCTTCTTGAGCATAGACCCCAGTCCCAAACCAAATATCACACTCGACCTTATACCTATGCCATTCCCAGCTCGAAAACCCAACTATTTTGAACAATAGCAGTAGAAGTCATTGTTTTAAAAAGTTTTAGAGAGCTCTTTTAGATTCGTTCAAACTGTTAAGAGTGCAAATAAATAAGGAAACAGATAGTTACTTGATTGCGTTTTTCATCGGGAAACTGTGAATTAATCTTCAGGTATTTCAGAAAAGTGAATGTCGGCAAGCAGGCAGAACAAGTAAACTGCTGACCGATAATGAAAGACAGTTAACGCAAAGGTAGCGAGGAGAGAAGATAGTGAAGTGAAAATCAATGAAATAACGGATGGGTGTTCACCTTTAACTTGTGCTTCATATTCGTGCATGGTCGTCTTGCCCTTGGTTATGGACATCTTCCTAAGGTCACCGGTCGCTACTGTGCTAACCAACATTACGATCCAAGCACTTCCACTGACCACACGCACTAGATGACTGTACGTCAGTTCCCTAATGACACAAACTTGAAGGATGTTCTAGAATTATTTCATCATCTTAACATGTCGCTCGAACCAACAAATGAAGTTTGATTAAATAAATACTAGTAATGACAATAATAAATAAAATAATAATAATAATAGATAACAGCAATTAATACTGATACCAATAAAAGCACTAAATACCACGAATTGGATGGACACTAATTTATATCATAAGCATAATCACAACAATAATAGGCAACTTACAAACAAAAACACGAGAAAAATACCACCACAAAGGAACAGTTACACAAAGCTATACATAGTCTAACTTTGTTTCGTTCTGAAATGGACGCCCAAAGCTGCACCTCTCATTCTCTATGCTCTCTTCGCATTTCTATGCATTCCACCATGAAACCACATGAAGTGAACGACTTTGGGCGGTGCTTGGAAATGCGTTCGTACGGCGCTGCAGTGAAGGAAATTTGCAAGATCTATTAATCGTTGTGGGATATGACTAATTTCAAGCGTTAAAAACGAGACGACACGAAAATCAAGATGCCAGCAATAATTAACGATGTTACTATCTATCACTAGTGCGTGTCAGGAAGGCTTCCAGTAATTAATGTGCAACTCAAGTGAAATTATTGAGCACATTTTGGGCGTTATTTTCAATTCATTCTTCCACCAAATAATTGCGGCCTTCCATGAAGAACAGTTCTTTGTTATTCGATTCTATCAAATTTCTATTGCTTCGCTTAATTATTGCTATGGTTTTTGTTATGCCTTATCCAATTACTTCATCGAATGTACTTCCGAATAAAATAATCTTAGAATACTTATTAATCACTTTTATCATTCCTTATACTACTACAAGAACAATATACTCTTTTATGAACCGTCGTTTGGTTTATCACTACCGCTGATTGCTGTTTTACGAACACTTACTGCCGTATGAAAATACAGACTGTCTATTAACCAAATTCTTTTCACCCAATTGAAGCTCTCTACTCAATTGACCATCGTTTGTGTGAACATGTTCCACCTATTATGAGAACTGATCGGACGGAGTGTAACAAGTCATCTCCTTTCACCAACGTATTAGCACCACATTTCATCATACGGTACGGGTGCCAACAAGAGGCGGAGAGAAAGGTTTGGATTTCGGAAGTGTTTTCCGGCATTTTTGAACCGAATAGACAACATACTGAGTTCGTTAAAAAGCGCACTTAAATAGGTGATTCTCTAATTAACACATCTGGGAGAAACACAAAGTTTGTAACAGCTCAGCATTCTGCTGCTGCTGCTGCTTGTGCTTATAACTTGGCTTCAGCCTTTACCCAAGCTTAGTTTTGATCCTCTGTAACAAACAGTCTTTTTCAGAAAATTGAAATTGAAAATTGGGAAAATGCACAACAATGCTTCATCTATCTGCCGGAATTATGCAGCTGCCAAACAAGAATGAAAACATGGAATCGAAAATGATA